TATTGTCTTCTCTCAAAACTAAAAATTCCATAGGCAGAGCACACTCCGGCTCTAATGGAACATGATGCTCAAATATTTAACTTTCCAAAATGTCATATTTGAATCACTTTACCATCACATATGCGAAGCTACGTTAGACGGTGAAGACATCTGCTTCCTCGGCCAGAAAGTGTAGGCGTTCGTGGAGATGAAAGACGGAGACAGCACATGTTAAACAAAAGCCTCCAGGCTCCAGGGCGGCCCACAGCCCGGAACTGCCTGCTGGGGGTGGACAACTCCGGTGTCCCCACAGTCAGAGGGGCTGCCACGGGGAGGACAGTAAGAGGCTGACTAGCCCCCGCCTCCCACACACATTCTAGATCATAAGGCCCCTAACTTCTCCTGCTGCCTCCGGTTCAACTGTCCTCATTCAATTTTGTTCAACAGTACGTTGATCAGCTAGTCACAGTCCCTTTCAGAGAAGTTACTAGTGAGAGGAGCTCTGACACACGATACATAATATTTCATTCCTTCTTAAATTTTTTCAAGTTTTACTGGGATATAAATAACATATAACATTGTGTAAGTCTAAGGTGTGCAATGAGACGATCTGATACACGTATATGTTGCAAAATGATTGCCACAATAAGGTTAGTTAACACATCATCACCTCACTTTGCTTGTGTGCCTGTGTGAACTTTCAAGTCACAGTGTTTTGTTAATTATAGTCACCCTACGATAGATTCGTTCTTCAGGACCTACTCATTTTATAACTGGAAGTTTGCACCCTTTGTCTACATCTTTCCACTTCACCCACTCCCAGCCCCTGGCAATCACCGTTCTACTCTCTGGTTCTCCGTAAGTGAGGTCATACAATATGTGTCTTTCTCTGGCATATTTCTCTTAGCATAATGCTCTCATGGTTCACCCATGGTGTTGCAAATAGGGTTTCCTTCTTTCTTGTGGATAAATAATATTCCATTATATATAAAAGCACATGCACACACAACCATGTCTTCGTTATCCATTCACTCATGGATGGACACTTTGGTTGTTCCATGACTTGGCTACCATGAATAATGCTACAGTGAACATGGGCGTGCAGATAATCTCATTGAGTTCCTGATTTCATTTCTTTCGGATGCATGCTCCAAGTGGGATTGCTGGATCACATATGGTAGCTCTATGTTAATTTTTGAGGAGCCTCCATACTCTTTTACTTCCACAGTGGTTGCCCCAAGCTGCATTCCCACCAGCATGTGAAAGGGCCCCCTTTCTTTGTATTCTCATCAGCACTTGTTAGCACCTGTCTTTTTGATAACAATCATTCTAACAGATGTGATGTGATATGTCATTGTGGTTTTGATTTGCATTTCCCTGATGATTAGTGATGCTGAGAACCTTTTCATGTACCCGGTGGCCATCTGTACATCTTTTTTGGAAAAAAAAAGTCTGTTCTGTTCCTTTGCTCATTTTTTAATTGGATTATTTTGCTATTGAGTTGTATGGATTGCTTATATGTTTTGGATATTAACACCTTATCAAATATAGCATCGGCAAATATTTTCTCCCGTCCCATAGGTTGCATTTATTTTGTTGATCTTTAATTCCTTGAGGGAGACAAGCCACAGTTTTAATGTTTCCGAGAAGGGGGGGCCTTGAATATGAATTTAGGGAGATAGCAGAGGGTGAAGCCTTTGTGAGGGACTTCACACCTGTTGTTGGTTGTGATACATGTTGGTAGATACACAGGGTAGACTAAAAAAGAGGATATCTGTAATACTTTCAACAATAAAGATAAATTTAAAAAGAAAAAAGTAAAAAAGAAAAAGAACGGAGTAGGCAGTTACAGGTAGCAGAAAGAGTCATTAGCAAGCTGAGGAGTGGAAAGGCCCTCAGGTGGAATAGGGTGCGCTTAGACAATGGTCTGGCTGCAACATCTAACCAAC